GAGACTGGAATTTCAGAATCGATAAAGAATTGATTCTGAAATTTCAGGTTTAGGAAACAATAGCTGTGTTTCCACTGTCTGCCCAAAAATGGTGACTTCCCGGGCTTGATCGGGCCTCATCCGGGCTTCCCCAACATCCAAGGTTTTCTGTCCCGCCGAATACCTTGGTCTAAAGCGGGCCAGCTCGGGCTTGATGATTGGTTGCGAACAGGGGCGGAGTTTATCTGAGTCAGGAGATGGTAGTGCTGGATGGTTTCATATACTGTACCTGTTAACATCGGCATTAAAGATTTTTAAAATCATTTTAGCTCAAAATAGACTTTCAGACAGCAGCGAGTGTTTGAAATAACTTCTGTTTGTGATCCAATGTGGATTCTGATCACCGTATAAGGCAGAAATATCATGCAATGCAAAAGACTATGCGTGCTAACCATAGTAAACATGGTTAATTCGACCGCTTGAAGAAATCAAGACAAATCATAGGCGATCGCATTCGTTATTTATTTCATCTGTCATTACGTCTCTTCTCTTTATACTTTTTATTTATATTTTTTTATTTTAATTTATATTTTTTATTTAAATTTTATTAATATTTTTATTTATATTTTATACTTTTTATTTTTATTTATTTTTTCTAAACTGTTTTAACTATTCTGATTTCTTTTGATTATTTTAATTTCTTCCATGTAAAGCACTTTGAATTGCCACTGTGTATGAAATGTGCTATATAAATAATTGCCTTGCCTTGCCCTATACCGGATTGTCTGACATTCATATTTAGCTCTGCATAGGTCATAGAATAAAGCAAGTCCGACTAATGGTGCAATCTTGACACAAATTGACTCATTTTGATCAATTTTATCACTTATTATTTTAAACCTATGGTAAAACAATGCTTGTGTGGGTTATGAAATCTTTAAGTAAACAACCAAAACGCCAAAATGGTTGCTTTTATCATGTTCGTTTGTCTGATTAGTTTTCTGATAAAACTTGTTGGTGAAATGATGGGTTTTTGTAAAAGAAAGATGAAGCTTATCATCTATAGCCTGTTTATGTCCTAAATGTAAGTCTCAAGGGAAGATGAGGATGAACTGAATGTGTTAAGAGGCATCAACTGAGTCAGATTTGTTCCAGAAAACTTGATAAATACAGATTTCTTTAGGTCCTAAACACTTATTTTAAGAGCACACAGCAGAGGTTACGTTGGCTTCATCATTGTACTCGGATGAAATGCACAAAGGGACAGTGGAAGTTCATCACAAGTTCAAACTTTCACAAAGTCTTCTTCATACTGTATATTAAAGATACAGTATACAATGTTTCTGTTCAGTAAATCCATTTAAGCATAACTGAATCCTTTTATCCGGGCCAGCAGATTCAAACTGTTTTCTGAAAGTGTAACCGACAGTTCTACAATGTTGTTGAAGAATGATCAAAGAACAAATCCCTTCCGTATTGTGCTTGTATCTCAAACTGTACGATTTTCCTAGCTCAGCACACACCACCTCTCAGTCCTCCTCCTCTAGTTGCTCGATACACCGCAAAGGGAATACTGTAATGAGGTGTCATATCTGGCTCTGAATGCCTGAGGCTGGTTTCTGATTATTTGATTTTCATGTTATTTTATTGCTGAGAGTTTTGCCATGTTCTGTTACATGTGAACACTTTATAAACTTATATAACAATTAGTTTGCCCTGCAGACGGACTCTTCATCAGCTCCAAACATTACAACGTGTCCCCCATTGTGAAGTCCTTAAAGGATAGTTTACCCTAAAATGAAAATTAAGTCATCATTTACTCACCCTGGTGTTGTGCTAATGCTGTATGCCGTTCTTTCTTAGGAGCATTTTTTTAAAAATGTACCGCTCACACTCGTCCATATAATACATAGACTAGACATATACGCTAGACCTCACCTTGGCTACGGCAGTTCATTGGAACGAATGTGTCAATAGAGCCGCCATCTTAAAACAGGGGAGCCCCTCCACTTTAACGCATCAGCGTCAATGTAGTAGACACAGGTCTAACGGAAATAAAATCACCATAAGTCATCAGGAATGCGATTTTTCTTGTTTTTTTGGTTTGTTCCAACGGTCAGACATGTATTTATCATTGATTCCAGAAAGAATTTTTTTTATTTTTTTAAAAACATTCTTCCTAGTTCAGATTTCATCCATGAACATCATACGCCAGTGTTGTAGTCGAGACCACCTCACTCGAGTCCGAGTCGAGACCGAGACCAGAGAGAGTCAAGACGAGTCCATAGAGAGTCGAGTCCAAGACCAGAGACGGTTGATTACCTAATTTACTTTTATTTACTTAGAGAAATCCTTTTTTTTTTTTACTGAATTTACTTAGAGTTTAAAAAATATGATCAGTTTAGGGTAAAAAGGCCACATAGTAGGTGGTGTTAAAAGTAATTTTATTACAATTTGTCATGCGCAGTTGCGCACTAGAAAATCACCAATCACTGGGCGTGTCAATCAATTTAAAGAAATATTTTATTAACATACATTAATAATCATGAAAAATATTTTGAATTGAACTCGAGTGGACTCGGGAATAAGTCCGAGTCCTAAAAAAAAAATGTTCGAGTACGAGTCAATTCCGAGTCCAGATGCACACGAGTCCATGACAAGACCAAGACCATTAAAATGTGTGAGTCCGAGACGAGTCCGAGTCTCGAGTACTACAACACTGTCATACGCTGCACAAAAGTCCGCCACCATCAAGGAATTCGAAGTAAAGGCAGAGATAGCAGCGTTACCTAGCTACTTCCTATGAAATTACTGTAATAAGTGTAATGTGTGTAAAGAAATACACATTCTGAGACATGGAATTAATAAAAGGGAATTTTATTAACATTCCAGGTTAACCTTAAAATTGACTCTTTGAATAAATTTTTTTTCTAAACATATTTTCTGTCGATTTTGTATCATGGTGATGTATGTTCAAGCAAGCGTTTATTTTTAATGCTATAAATATAGATGTAACGTATCCTTGAGACCCCCTTGATCACTACTACGCTGACTCGGACTCCAAATGACGTCAATGGCCATTTCTGGGACATTTTGCCTTCCCTTTTTGACAGTGAAAGGAAATGGAGACCCTTCGTCCATCTTTTTTACTGTTTATGGTAACCCTCATAGACGGGCAGAGAGAAACAAGGAAATTATAAAACATCTTACAAGAGACAAACGTTTCGTAGTGAATGTAGAGTATATTTCTTGTCATGCTCTGAACTCTGAACTATTTCCGCTGATAAAATTGTTCTTTTTGAGTGCAGTCTATATATATATAAACTCAAAGGAAGTGGATGATTTAGATTGTTTAGTAACTTGTGATCACAGACCATAACCGAAATCTCTCTTTATTGTGGATTAAGGACATCTGAGCAATTTTCCGCAATTACCTTGCTTGAAATAGTTATACTTTTAAAGCGGATTTCATAATTGCTGCAATTCCCAAACCATTTGTGATAAAGCAACAGCAATCATCTTGAAAAAATATATAATTTCTGGGGTCAAAATAACACTTAAAGTTGGATAGTGCCTTCGGATTGGTTTTAAGATCCTTCAATCGTGTGTTTATCACTGCAGGAGTGCAGTATTCATAGAATGCTTAAATTACACCATTTATGGAACTACAACTTTTTTTAAAGGACAAAATAAAGGACACAGGCATAAAAGCCCAGTTAAAACAGCTGACGATGGTCAAAATAAGAATAAATGGACATAAACATCAGATTTGACTTTGTTTTCTACAATGTTTTGTATTTATCATCATATAAATGCACAGCTTGTCAGCAAAAATGACACCTCTATTACTCACTTTAAATTGCAACAGGCAGGATGAATACATGACCTCAAATTGAATATCATAGCTATACTTTGCTGCAGTTTCTTTGCTACTTTATTCATCTGTTTCTCCTTATGATGCTAAATGTTACATGTCATAAATCCAGTATTTCCATAAACGAGTTAAAAGAACATTACAGTTCTCAGTTCTTTTGGTAAACATGTGAATTAAAACAATACATCTACTGTAACTATTCAAATTAGAAAGAGACAAAGTCATTCCTTTTATGTTGTTTTCATGTCTGTCATCAAGGAAGATTTATTGTTAAAAAAGTGATTTCACTTTGTTTTAGCTGGTTTATCATATCAAGGGAGTAATGCTGCAACTATCTAATAAAGGTTTGCTAAACACAGGTCTTATAAAGTTCAGTCTGTAATCGTTTTTACCGTCAGACTATCACTTGTTTATGACATTTGATTAACACTAATGTACATCTTCTGCAATCTCGAAAATAATAAAATATGTTTTTGGCTTCAGTAAACATCTTGGATAACAGCCATCGCAATTCCCTTCAGAAGAATAATAAAGAAACTGCATTGCTGATGTTCTGAGGCGCCAGCCATCCTCTCCTTGAAATGATCATTTCAGAAAAAAACACTCATAAACGTGTTACTTTACTAAAACATGTGAGACCGTTTCATCAGACAAGTTTGACAGCTATTGGTTGGTCATCTTGAAGAGGTCGATCTCATTTTCAGAGGATCGTTTTTAGTGCAAGTCATCAACTAAAATCAAATGCAAATTCAAGCACTAAGCATCTCTCAATTTATTAGTGATGCAACATGATACAAAATCGTATATGAGGTTTATCATTATCTAATGATAAGTGATATTACAGAGTTGAAAAATTTCAAATCTGACAAGAATTTGCCCTCTCTGAGCTCATTTATTCGAAATGGAGAGTCATAATATGATATTATGTTCAGTGCAGCAAATGCTCTTTCACTCTCATGTTCATTTATGATGCGCATTAGAATGCACCACAATGGCGAGAATGGACAATGGATATTGTGTTTATTGCTTAGGAATGATGTCATCTCATATTTGGATTTGTGTGCGCATAATGGTTCTCTTGCTGATATCATTCCAGAATATCATCTAAATGAGATTGTCATGGAAATGCCTGTTTCTGTGTTTGCAGGAGTGCCCCAGTGGTGTGGTCAATGAAGACACATTTAAGGAAATTTACTCTCAGTTCTTTCCACAGGGAGGTGAGTGCCTTTAAAGTCATGTATTCTCTAGTACTATTTCCTTTACAGTTACACCACAGACAGTAGTGTGATTTTTAATATAACCTGATCTGACCTTTAATTATATTTTTTTGGGTGTAACCTGAAGTACTCTCGAAAATATTTGGTGTATGATTTAACAGTTTTAAAGGTAGGGTATGGGATTTGTCAAACGGCTGGCAGATTTTGAAATGCACAACTCAAAAGGTTCTTACCTTCTTTCCTCCATCGCTGGCCCTGACTCTACCCATTCGAAGAGCACCCAAAACTCAGATGCGCGAGATTGCACTTACTCTCTCTTTCTCTCTATCTGTTCAATGGACCTTTTCTGTCCAATGATTCTAGGTGGTCTTGGAAATGATTGGCTGGAGTTTTTCGAGTCCTTCCCGTTCCATAGATGATTAAATTGCTTAAATTTAATTTCAGTGCTTTTGTAAGTGGGTTAAGGATTAGGGTGATCACCTGCTAATAAGCCCAAGGGGGGTGTCACAGAGCTACCCTCAGCTCTTTGTGACCCCTGGTTAGCTCTTCCACAAAACACATGAACACATACTTGGTTTTTAAAGACTCTTTATTTACCTTAGTGTACCAGCAACATGAGAGATGGATTGTCCACACAAATCTATTCACAACTGTGCTGTTGTGTCTCAGACTGGCCACCTGAGCACTAACCCTGAGGACATGTAACGTTTGTTGCAGACTGTTGATTGTCACCTGGAGCAGCATACAGGGTGGTGGCCATCTTGAATTGGGTAAAAGACTGGAATGGACTTTTCTTATGTTTTTATACCTGTGCTGTGTTGCATCATGGGAAGTGGGAGATACCAAGTATGGTGTTAAGGGAAGGGGAATTGGGATGTTAATGTGAACTTCTTTTGATTATTGTTGAAATTCAGTGAAGTTGTGCTGTTATTTAACTTTGTGTGGTGAAGAAAATGAAGTTACTTGATCACATATTTTTAATTGATATTTATTAGCTGTTCATGATCTTTATTACTTCCCCATGTGATTATTGGTGAGAAATGGTTGCCCCTAGGGGTATAAATTCTCACAGAAAGAAGTGATCAGGAGGGTAAAGACTGTTGGTAGTGAATGCTGTATCAACTGACTGCTGTGATTGAAGTAGTAGGCCTGATGCAAGGCTGTTTTTTTGGTATATTGACTTTATTTTTTTTTATTTGTTTTTTTTTTTTGGTAATTTTTTCCTGCTACCTCACCTGTGAGCACCTTGCACTTTACGAAGTTGGGAGAACATAAATAAATATGAAAATGGCATTTAACGTCCTCCATGTGTTATTTTGAAGAACTTTGGATGTCCTTGTGACAGGGGGACAAGGGGTATGTTTCTGAGGGACTATGTGGGACACTGCCTGGCGCGGCGGTGCCCCCACCCCACGGGCAGACTCACTGAATAGTGGTTTACCCATTTCTAGTACATACCACCTTACATGGTATATTAATAATGCCGTATTCCCCAAAACATGTGTGATTGCTGATGTAATCTCACGAATAGGCCAACCAATGTGTATTTTTTTTCTAAATAAAGATTTAGAATATTTTGAACATTTCAATGAATTGACAGATGCACTTCCACTTACGATTTACTTTAGCTATTTAATTGTATTTATTTTTCATTACAATTTATTCAATAATAATATAAAATTATAGGATTAACAGAAATTGTAGTTGCTCAACACCAACAGTTAAAAAAAAGTCTTAACTTACAACTCCAGAGGTTCACGGGACAAGAAGATGAGCTGTCATGACAACAATGAAAAAGTTGACAACAACCTAGTCAGCAGTTCAACTGAGGTCACGTGGGTGTGAAAACAGTAGCGTGCTAAACTCTCAAGTAATGTTCGTTTGGCTGCCTGGGGCTTGAGGATATAGAGCGACCGACTTTTTTTTCTTTTTTTTTTTTTTTTTTGAGCAAGCATTGATTATTATGGAATGCCAAAGCTAACTAAATTAAAAACATATAAATACATAAATAAATGTACGAAGAAATGTAAAAAAAGCAAAAATACATAAATAAATACATAAATAATATACAAAGAAATGTAAAAAGGTGCAAATAAATTAGTATTTATACTTTTATTTCCATATTTATGCATAATTGTATTTTTCACACATTTATTTATTTATACATTTATTCATTTCCACATTTATTTCAGTATTTATGTTCTTACAGCTACATTTATTTATTTTCACATTTATTTATTTCTATATTTATTTATTTCCACATTTATTTATTCCAACATTTCTTTCTCCGTATGTTAATGATGCACATTTTTTACTCGACTTAAAATGCGATATTGCCCACACAGCTCTTGCTTTTCGTTTGGTCACATTCCACAAGGTGTCACTGTGGCCTCAAAGCTTCAGCACTGCCACTCTGAGATCGATTGCTATAGATACAGTCGGTTGGTCTGGGAACGCCCCCGGGAACGCCCCGTCACGTGGTGTGAATTTAGCCCGTGGGGGAAAACATTGCCTTGGCGCTCATTGAAATACATGGGACAATCATGCCGCAGAGTTGCTGTGTCGTTTTCTGTACCACCAATAAACAAACAAATTATAAATTGAAGTTCTACAGCCTTTCTTACATACATACAGAACCGGATAGGAGGACAAAATGGCAAAATTAATCATATCTTATTAGATTACTGTGTAAGTAGAGGTCCGTGTGATATTCATGGATTTCATGTGACGTCACACAGTGGCGCGGCCGCCATTTGTAGGACCGAATCGCGATTGCTAACGTGCCGTCTATCTGCAGTGCTGTAAGCTGTGACAACAGCAAATCACAAAGAAATGATAAACTAAAATTTAATAACATTCCTAAAAACCCTGAACGTCGTAAGAAATGGATTTCTGCTATCAAGAGGGATAACTGGACACCTACAGAACACTCCAGACACTGCAGTGAGCACTTTATTTCAGGTAAGGATAAGGAATGTAAGCTAATCGTTTGCAACATGGTTTGCAAACGTGAACTGTTGTAACATTAGCACCTCTTCCTTACCAATCAGCCTTTGCAGATAAATTCAATTAGGTAATGTGTAACTGGCTTACATTTTCTAACAAAATAACTTGATCGTCATCTGTGTCTATCAACGTTATGTTAACGTTAATTTATCCACTTTTAGACTAACTAATTCGGTAAAACTTTACTAAGGCTTTAGTAAATAGATATTCCATCACATATAAAGCATTAATAGTCATTAATAGTTATAAAAAAGCAATTTATAGATACAGCTTTAAATGCTTTATTCTTGATTACTTTATTAATGATCAATTTATCATTTCTAAATGAAATATTGCCATTATTTATAAACCAGTTATTTAAGAGTTTTCAATGGAGTTGTCTAAGATTACTTAAAGTATTTAAATTGACATTCATACATCTTATATCAAGACAAACAGTAATACTTAGTTTGTTCATAAAATCTACCTGAATTTACTCCATTTACTTAAACTTTGTGATCTTATGAATCACTGAATACTCTTAAATAACTGGTTTGTAAATAATGCTATACTTTATTTAGAAATGATAAATTGATCATTAACAAAAATGAAAAATACTATTATTAAACACATTATAGCCTAGATATGTTTATAAATCAAGTAAAAAGCATTTATAGCTGTATTTATAAACTATTTATTGTGTATTAATGTTTAAAAAATGATGTATTAACTGTTTACTCATGCCTAACTAATGATTAGCATGCAGTTATTATAAAAGTGTAATCACTAATTCTGAGTTGGCAATGTTAATTGGTGTCTCATTATACCACTGCAGGCAAGAAAAGTGATAATCCTCTGAACCCCGATTATGTGCCAAATCTGTTTGCCTACCTGTCACTTGAGCAACGACAAAGAAAAAACAATTGCTACAAGAAATTTGAGCAAACACAAGCTGTCAAGAGGAAGAGAAGTTGTACCAGTGATGTGTCAATGTTACCCCATGGTAAATATACTGGCAATGAGATGGACCACAGTGACAGCTTTCCTGAGAGCGGGCAGATTGGGGAACACAGCTACTGTAAAGACCCTATCCATACTGAGAGCAGTGTAGCATGCTCCGATGAAGCCTGTCGAGAAACTGTGAAGAAACTGACAGAAGAGTGTACCAGACTGAGGGCAGAGGTCTATCAACTTAGGGACAGGGTAAGCAAGTTATCTTTCCAGCAGGAGGTGTTCAAAGACAATGATGAGATGGTCCAGGACTTTACTGGACTTCCATCCTATTCCAAGATGATGGTAGTCTTCACCTTCTTGTCAGGATTCCTAAAGGGGGGACCTGGGCTGACTCCCTTTGTGTAACATTTGCCCATCTGTTGTGCCCTCAGAATAGAGACTACGTAACATTGTGTTTCCAGTGTAACACATAACTATATGAACTGATGTTTGTTTTGATACAAGTCTGTTTTATATTTGCAATAAAAAAAGGTGACAGTAAAATTCTGTTCTCATTCTGTTTATTGTTAATCATTCGTAATAATCAAATCATTCATAAAAAATCCCATATACATTATAAACCACATGGGTAATTAGGTTGTAGATTCAAACTGCATTTCTACTGTGCAAATATTTATTCCTACCAGAAACCCTGTGCCCGGCTCACAAATAGTAACTTAACCGAATGTTATTGAAAAAGGCATTTTAAACTACTGATTGTAAACTAACACTTAATGAAGATATGAACTACATTAAAGGAATAGTTCACTTTAAAATGAAAATTCTGTCATCATTCTCACTCTCAAGTTGTTTCAAACCTGCATGCATTTCTTTCTACAGGAGAACACAAAGGAAGATATTTTGAAGAATGTCAGTAACCAAACTGGAACCATTGACTTCCATGGTAATTTTTTTTCCTACTATGGAAGTCAATGGTTCCAGTTTACTGTTTGTTTAATGACATTCTTCAAAATATCTGAGAACTGTCCCATCTTCCTGTACTGTTATCCAGTGGTATGTTGGTGTTAAACTGAGGCTTTGTGAATGCTTCACCTGAAAATGTAAATAAAAGTAAAATTAGCAAATTACAGATTAGCTTGATAAAACATTTTTTTTACAATTGGAACACGTATAACGTCATTCTAGACAGCTATCTATATTTACATTAGTAACCTTAGTTATACATATGGCTGAATGTGCTGTGCTCAATGTTTCTGCCTTAAATTAATAGACAGTGATTTGTCTACATTTCTGAAATTCATAACTTTGACACTCTAAAATGTAAGTTAATGTACATATGCATTTTCAGTAAAGATGTTTTAAAATATTGTGAGTGCTAAAAATAAATGAGCTTATCGGACATGGCGGGGGGCGGGTCTTTGCGAACGGTCAATTTATATCAACAATACTTTTATGTTCAGCAAGTAAAAGAGTGCCACTTACCCTTCCTGTTATCAAGAACATTTTCTTCATCTCCAGATGATAGATTCCGGGATCATTAACCCATCCTGAGGTGAAGTAGCGGTAGGCTTCAGTGCTTTTAAATGCCTTCCGGTGAATGGATAGGGATTGTGGACGAGGTAGTAAATGTCAGCGAACGTCAAATTTTTACAAGTCAGCAGTTCGTTTGAAAGTAAACACGGATCTAAACCTTAATTATCAATTTTATTTAAATACCGTTGAAATACCTTTTAATCTGTAATGAGGTGTGCTGTTAGTGTCAGTGTGCGACATCTTTCCGATCAGGAGAAGCTACGCAAAGGTCCTAAAGATGGCGGCCGCAACAAAAAAGTCACGTGACTGAAACCCATTAACTCGTATTAGGCAGTGAGCCAGATTTGTCTGACGTTACATCCTTTACGAAAAAGAACTATAGTAATCCTATGGCTATTAGTATTCTATAGTAGTGTATAATACTTCTGTGATGTTCATTAATACCTATACTTCTAGGCTATGTCCCAAAATACTATAGTATTCCTATAGGAATATTAACGTTACTATAATATTTTGTCCTAAAATACTACAAGATTCCTTTAACGTTAGTTGTTTTTCATAAGGGATGTTATTAGCGTTATCAGCTGAAGGTTATCAGACTGCAGTCTGTGAGAATTCGGATAACTGTCAGCAAGTCCCTCTGCAACTTCGTAGCGACTACTAATGATCACCGTTTTACAAAAGGATTAATAGTTTGGAGTGAAGCATACGTACAATTGGTAAGTGACATGGTTTTATGGACTTATAGTAACTTATACGCAAGTTGATTGAGTTACAGGCTTGTGTTGCCGGTAGCTTCCGCGATGTCTTACCTGAAGATTCAACCAGATATAATAGTCTGGAAACGACACCTCCGGCCATTTGGTTGGGTCATTGACCCAGTTTAATTAAATAAGGGCAATCATAACCTATTACAGTTAATTTTGCAATGTACCGTTGCCGGTCGGCAGGCATAAATGACTCGCAATATGACATTTTTGTCATTCAAATACATAGGATGGTCGCGCTGCTTTCCCCCACACCGACCACGCCCCCCAACTATGACGCGTTGCCGACTGTATCTCACGCCCCCCTCATTAGTATATAGACAAAGAAATGTTGGAATAAATAAATGTGAAAATAAATAAATGTAGACATAAAAACATAAATACATAAATGAATGTAGAAATAAATAAAATTGGAAATAAATAAATGTAGAAATAAATAAATGTGTGAAAAATACAATTAAACATAAATAAGGAAACAAAAGTATAAATACTCATTTATTTACTTTTTTACATTTCTTTATATATTTATTTCTGTATTTATTTATGTATTTTTGCTTTTTTACATTTCTTCGTATATTTATTTATGCATTTATTTATTTTTAATTAAGTCAGCTTTGGCATTCCATAGATTATTGCCTGTTACGGTCTCAATTTGTGGGACGCACGCGCTACGCGGGACGGGTGGTCACCCTATTAGGGATAGGATTTCAAGTGATTTTGAAAAAATGGTCAAAAAAGAAAATCACATACGCCACCTTTAATGCACACCTTCCAGCCAATTATAATCGCGTATTCAGACAGACCATGGTATAACCGTTTAATGCACATGTAGTTCCAGTCAGTTTAATAAGCGCTCAATATTAATGCACTCGCACGCAGAGATCGTAGATTCAGCTGCGCACACACAGAAACATTCAGGAGCACAGAAATTTCTCATCGCTGACCCGCGACTATAAATATCTTCGCTACTGAAACGCTATTATATTTCTTAGCAGAGAGGATGTAATAGTAGAATCTGCACAGACGCAGTTAATTCACACACACACATCTCTCTCACACTCTTTCTGTCGATAATTAATTCACATAAATGTTGTATTTCACTCATTCAAATAAATGTAATTTTACTGCACTACTTTGTTGCTGTGTCTGATTCAAAGCGAGCAGAATGCTAGATCGATTTTTTGCTCGTTCTGGTCAAATATTGTGCTGCAAACATCAGTAACAGCTTTAACTTGTCAGTGTTGGCAAATGACCATGCGATAATCCAAGGCTAACAGTGCATTAAACTGTTTGAATGCACTCTGCTTCATGTCGGGCAATTCTTTGCCTCCAAGTTGTGCATTAAAATAATTTAATGTATACGCTAGGTGTGGATTATTCCTTAAATAATATGATATTTTGTTTTGTGTACACTCTCAGAAAAAAGGTACAAAAGCTGTCACTGGGGCTGTACCTTTTCAAAAGGTTAACTTTTGTCAATTTTAGGTGCTAATATGTACATTTCAGGTGCTAATACATACATTTTAGGTGCTGAAATATACATTTTAAGTGTTAATATGTACATTTAGGTGTTAATATGTGCATTTAAGGTGCTAATAAGTAGATTTTAGGTGTACATTTTATGTGCTCATTTGTTCATTTCAGGAGCTAATATGGACATTTTAGGTGGTAATATGTACATTTTAGGTACTCATATGTCAATTTCAGGAGCTAATATGTCCATTTTAGGTTGTAATATGTAAATTTTAGGTGCTAATAAGTACATGTTAATATGTACATTTTAGGTGCCAATATGTACATTTTAGGTGCTCATATGTCCATTTCAGGAGCTAATATGTTCATTTTAGTTGGTAATATGTAAATTTTAGGTGCTAATATGTCCATTTCATGAGCTAATATGTACAAAAGTGTACCTTTTGAAAAGGTACAGCCCCAGTGACAGCTTTTGTACCTTTTTTTTTTCCTGAGAGTGTAAGGTGATCGATGTTCCTTATGTCTTCAACCTAGAAACTAATAAACTAGAAACTATAACATTAAATAGAAATCAAACATGTATAGGACTAAAAAGCCCCAGATGGGAGTTTCTCCTCATCATTTCAGGAGTCCACCACACACATCACTGATCTGAATGGAAGTCTCTCTGAGGAAATGGTGATTCTCTTCTCTTTTGAGTCACATGATTTGTGCACAGTTGGAGCAGCAGTTTTATAATTATAGGTTTGAGCTGCTCTACATCATTTGTTGACAAATCTCTCTCACGTGACCCTACTCATTTCCTGCCCATTCACATACACACACTATTTGTATTATTTATAGTATAATGGATCATAGCTTGAGCAAGCTCACGCATCCCCTTGGTTGGTGAACATAATTAGCTGTGCAATGAGTTAATGACATTGCTGTGACTGAAGCTGAGCAGTTTCCTGGTTTATTTTTCAGATGCATCAACGTATGCACATTTTCTGTTCGATGCATTCGACACCGACCACAATGGCTCTGTCAGTTTTGAGGTAAGTACTAATGGAGCATTCTAACTGAATGCAATATATATATATATATATATGATGATGTTATGTTATTTTGTTCCGTTGTATATTCAGATTTGTGTGAGAATAGTGATCTCTAGTTTAAAAGAATAGTGCAGCTCCACCAGACATAGCCCCTAAATACTCTTTCCCCTATTGATTTTAACCTAAAATCCTGAAAAACAAAACCTCAGGAGCATTTTATGCACCAACAGAAATAAATGATTTGTTCAAGTTTCATCAATGTCTTGACTGACAACCAGTGTTGTAGTCGAGACCACCTCACTCGAGTCCGAGTCGACACCGAGACCAGAGAGAGTCGAGTCCGAGTCAAGACCGAGTCCATAGAGAGTCGAGTCCGAGACCAGAGACGGTCGAGTCCGAGTCGAGACCGAGACCAGTGAGGGTTGATTACCTAATTTACTTTTATTTACTTAGAGAAATCCTTTTCTTTTTTTTCTTTTTTTACTGAATTTACTTAGAGTTTAAAAAAATATGATCAGTTTAGGGTAAAAAGGTCACATAGTAGGTGGTGTTAAAAGTAATTTTATTACAATTTGTCATGCACAGTTGCGCACTAGAAAATCACCAATCACTGGGCGTGTCAATCAATTTAAAGAAATATTTTATTAACATACTGTACATTAATAATCATGAAAAATATTTTGAATTGAACTCGAGTGGACTCGGGAATAATTCCGAGTCCTAAAAAAAAAAATTGTTCGAGTACGAGTCAATTCCGAGTCCAAATGGACACGAGTCCATGACAAGACCAAGACCATTAAAATATGGTCTCGAGACCGAGTCCGAGACGAGTCCGAGTCTCGAGTACTACAACACTGCTGACAACATATTGTGCAATTTGCATTTTACTGAGACATTAGGAAACATTTCAAACCTTCAATTTGCACATAACGAGGAATTCATTCTTTGACTATGAGCAAACATTGCTGGTCCCCAGCGATACAGTAATTAAACTAAATGAGAATATCCTCATCTTGTTTTTTTTTTTATAAGAATGCTTGGCTTGTCCTTTAGCCATTTAGCTCCCGCTAAGACTTATTTTGTCATATCTGGTAATTAAAAACCTTGAACGCTCATGTGAAAAGTTCAGCCAGAAGAATTTCTCTCATCATTTGGAGAAAAATGCTTATGTGGTTATTAAAGGCATTTATTTCCATTCACATAAGAGAAACGTGAACTCAAACCATTCATTATGCCCTTTGTGTGCCGACTGAATTACTGAGATAGTACAACTATTAAAATAGCATGAGGTATAATATCATCTTGTGAAATGAAGCAGTTTGTATGGAGAATAATCATGAAACATGTTCTTGCTGTAAATCACACATTTATGTTGTTATGCAACTTTCTCAATGTCTTTCATTTTATCACAGGATTTTGTAATGGGTCTTTCCATTCTCTTACGAGGCACCGTTCAAGAGAAGCTTAACTGGGCATTTAACCTCTACGATATTAATAAAGATGGATATATAACAAAAGAGGTAACATGAAGAAAATCAGTAAAACTTTATGATAAGGGTCATTTCATTAACAAATTAATTTGATAGGTGACATGAACCAACAATGAACAGCCCCAAATCTCTGGTGTTTTCAGAATAGGCCAATGGAAATGTTATGTGGAATTTGCATGTCTGGACACGTCCCTAGACATAACAATATATAAGGCAGCTAGCATCAGGTCTCCCTAAGAAGGTGACCTCCTCACTCCAGCCGTAGGGCCTCTTCTCATTCAAAATAAGTTATATTTCGAGGCCAAAGTACACCTGGTTGTTAAAATTGAGAAGCATTGTCTTTCTCATTGAGAATGCAACACTTCAGAGAGCACATCCTACCCAAAAGGGGGGGTACGTATGTGGATTACATCCTATGGACTCACCAGTGGGGAGTACTACTACTACAGGGTAGAGTCCCTGTGGTGGGCTCCGTCTGACGAAGGGGAAACTACCCACCACCGTGACCTGGTGTCGGAGCTAGCTCCGTCTAGGGAAAGACGCTTGGTTCACCGACAGGGAAACTGAACAGTGAAAGAATATATCTTATGGGGTCACTGTTAGGGAATCATTACACACCGAGCACTAGCCAAATTGCAAGGGCTTATCTGAAAATGGGCATCCCACGAGTAATGGGCCTGGTAGTGAGGTCCTCCACCGAACCCATTTACCATAACAGTGCTTAATAATGGAGAAGGGTGGCCCAGGGTTCACCATTCAAGGGAAACTCTAACTGGACCAGTTGCCCGAATTGTACCTGTTGTTACCTAAGACTCAAGAAGAAACTGGTTCCATACAAAGATTATAAATATTGCGAAGGTGTTGGGTGTAGCCAACAGAGCACCATTCGCCAGAGCTGGCGTGGCTGTGATACTCCAAGTGGAGTGAGCTCTTACTCCCAATGGGCATGGTACACCTTGGGTCTGACAAGCCCGGAGTTTGATGTCCATGATCCAATGGGCCAGTCTCTGTTTGGAGACAGACTTCCCTTTCTGCTGGCTTCCAAAGCAGACAAATAGCTGCTAAGATTTCCTGAAGCTCTGCATGCAGTCCATATGTGTAAAGCGTGCACCGGACACAGCAAAGACAAGCTCTGTCAGGGGGGAGTACCAGAGAAAGTTCAAAGAAAGGACAAGGCAAGGTCTTGTAGGATTCAACCTCCGCGCACCTCTCAGGAACCTAATCAGGTTAAGACCAGCCACCCTTGGTTACCCGCTATTGTGTTTGAACAGTTTTAAGCAGTTCAGCACTGACTGTTTACTGTCCTGTGAAAGACGTGCTGTCATGGCGATCGTGTCTAACTCCACACCGAAAAAAACAAAATGCTCTGTCTGCACTAGGGAGAGCTTGCTCTTTTCCCAGTTGACCCGAAGTCCCAATCAGGCTAGGTGATCTAGGACCAGGTTCCTGTGTACATATCAACTCTCGCTAATCGACTAGGATTAACCTGTCGTTGAGGTAAAGTATGCAAATACACACTTCCCTTAGAGAGGCAAGGGCAGCCTCTGCTACCTCTGTGAAGACGCGAGGAGAAAGGAACATCCTGAAAGAGGCCGTCCTTCAAAGGCGAACTATAGAAATGGGATGTGCCGTGGAAGGACAAGAGTATGTCCGAAAACATGAGAGTACGTGTCCTTCGGTTCTATTGCTAACACATGAGAGGATGTGTCTCTGGCTATATTTACATTAATCAGGTTAAATTTGAAAATGCCATTTTCGTTTAAAAAAAAAAGGCTTTCCGTCCACACTAGCGTTTTCGGGGGGTTTCCAGAAGTTTCTCATCCACACTGACATCATGACTTTTGCGTAAACATACACGACACTTTCGAGTCAAGTGGCGTGTTATCTCTACGCATTTTGAGCTATCCGCGTGTATGTTTACGCCATTAACGTCCGAGTGATTCCGCGTGTCTGTACACGCCGTCAAATGTCCGCGCGAAACGAAGCAAAATAGATCTACATGTGTTTTTTTTCCTAGGATGGTAAGAGAACAGTCATAAATGCCATTAACCGCAGTGACGGTTAAGTTTAGGGACGGGGTTGAGGTAAGTCATATATTTATATATACAGTAATAACGTTAAGTCAACGGCGTTCATAAACACGCTGAAAAGCGATTATGCGTCTTGATAGCACGCCAAAAATGGAAATACGAATTAGCGTGTCATACACACGCTACTTCATGAGATCAGTCTGAAACGTCGGCAAACGCTAAATTCACCTTACTGCGCATGTGTAAAAGCTCGCTGAGATGATACAGACAGAAAAATAAATAATAAAAAAAGTAATATTGGCAATTGATGCATTCAGGTCGCACTCAGTCACCATATGTTAACTTATAACTTTTCTGTCATCTTTGCAGGACTGTGCAGCCCGTTCTCATCCTTTAGCGTCACATAGAACGCTATATGACAAAACGGCGCTATACTACGCACATGGCACCCTTTATCGTTAATATTCACGCGAACCCAAGGCGTCATAAATCCTTTCGCGTAATATGAGACTACCCTACCCCACACCTAAACCTAACCATCACAGCGCGTGTTATATTAACGATAACGGGTGCCATGTGCGTAGTATAGCGCCGTTTTGTCATATAGCGTTCTATATGACGCTAAAGGATGAGAATGCGTTGGACTGTGATATGAAGAGCAAAGTAACATATTTTAGCAACTGTCTGAAAGTGAATAGCACATAACGGCCACAGTACCGGTATAAACAGGTTCAATATGCGTCACATGATTAAACATGCGTCATCATTTTCAAATAGTTTTCACAGTCCACACTTCTGTGCGAAAACAGCATTTTCAAATTTATCCACTTTGGAGAGCGTTTTCAAAACGCTTTGTTTTTATTGATAAAAATGCTGTCTCAGTGTGGACGGAGGGCCAAAATGGAGAGAAAAAGATGTGTTTTCAAACGAAAACGTATTAGTTTGGACAAGGCCTCTGTGTGAGCATATTGAACGGGAGCCTATACAGGACTCGATTCAGAACTCGCAGATCTAATATTGGTCTCATCCCACCTCCTTTCTTGAGTTCGATGAAGCAAGGGCTGTAAAACTCCTTGTTCTCATCCAGAGGGACAGACTCTTTTGCATCCTTCGCTAGGAGGACAACGATCTCAGCTCGGAGGACAGCAGCATTCTCGCCTCGTACTGAGGAGAAAAATAACCCAACCGTGACCGGATCAGTCCACTTAAGCCCAATGCTCACGGCTACCAACTCTGCGTCAGCCTCAGACTGTACTGTCACACCCGAAGGTGGAAGCACAAACGAGTCATCCATACAGTATGTCCAGGGGCGTGACCAGACATGCAAAAAGAGGTGTCTGTCTCTCATTCGAAACAACGAATGAGTGACAGTAAGGGAACTATTATTACCTAGATTAATAAATGCTGTAATATTTTGCACATTGTAAAAATAATTTGACTTTTTAAAAAAAAAACAAAAAACTCTCAAGTGTTTCTAGCAATTTCTTTGTAATTATTTGTGAACTTTAGAAGCAATTTCTGAGTGAAAATGTTTCTAAACCATGATTTTTCCAGTGTATTGTCTGTTCATGATTAAATTAAAGCTAATTAAATCTCTTACAAAGTGTTATCAGAAAATCACATGACGCGTGCTGTTATGTAACACCTACTAACAACATGCCTGTCTATTGTTTGGTATTCACAGGAAATGTTAGATATCATAAAGTCTATCTATGACATGATGGGAAGATGCACATATCCCACACTTAAAGAGGAAACTCCACGGCAGCATGTGGAGATATTTTTCCAGGTAAGATCGAATATTATCAGTATCTAATTTATTCCTTTTTGATTGTATTTCAAATAGAAAATAGGCTCACACTTTATATTAGGTGCCTTTAACTACTACTACACATACTTATAAAGTGTATATATACATATATGAGCAATATCACACAAGGAGCAGTGCAATATGGCTGTATATCAGCACAACGGTGATATATAACAGTTATTTCGATTGTTAGGTATAATCTCAATGTGTTGAATTGCAAAACAATACAACTATTGAGGAGGGATACGGGTGAGATTAGGGACAGGTTTGGTGGTATGGTTTAAGGGTGGGTTCACCTCAGTATTTACTGGTAAATCAAGTACATTTCCAGAATGTTTTCCTATCTATGTTGACCCTTTGACCCTTTTTGTGTCTTGACAGAAAATGGACAAAAACAGGGATGGAGTGGTCACTATAGATGAATTTATAGACTGCTGTCAAAATGTAAGCCTATTTTTGGTATGAATGTGATGTTCTGCATTAATGTCTTTCTTGAAAACATTTCCAACAGAGTAAAGAGAAAATCGCCTTATTCATTGAGCCTGCAGCAGTGTCATCCTGAGGACTGTCCATTATTAAAGTGTCCATTTGCTCCCCACAGGATGAGAACATCATGAGATCAATGCAGCTTTTTGAGAACGTCATTTAACGTCTGAATGGACTCTGTTGGCGGGCCAGCTCATATAACCACCTTTATACTCCACAAACTCCGAAGGCCTCGATGAGACACGTCTGATTACTAGCAGTGATTCACCCATAAACCAAAATTAACAGCATTTTTTAATATCAAAGAAAAAATATTTTTTAAATTTTTGTCATATCCTTTTCCTGTAAAAAACAAAAAAACAATCATACCTTTATTTAGAGTACAGCAATTTATGAAAAGCCTGTTTCCACCATGGAAAAAAAAATTAAAAAGATAATTGTGATTTTTTTTTTTTATCTCACAAATCTGACTGTAAATCTAAGGAAAAGAACTACAATCGCATGAAGCATTGCTAACAGCATAATTTATGTTTATTGCAAAATATTTCTTCAGTCGAAAAGAAATTAAGGTTTTTGATGAAAACATTCCAGGATTTTCTCCATGGACTTCGTTGGGTACCAAATGAGTTTCAGTGCAGCTTCAAAGGGCTTTAAACGACACCAGATGATGAATAAGGGTCTTATCTAGGACCCTTCGAGTCATGACTCGAAAAAAGATTTGTTCATTTTGATGAACGAGTTTGAACAGGAGAGTCACGAATGCTCATCACAGAACAGAGCATGCCGAGCATTTGTGCTTAAATAAAACTTAAACTTTTTTATTTCTTTTTAAATGAGCGATTGAAGCTGCACTGAAACTGTCATTTGGACCTTGAACTGTTTGGTTCCCAATGAAGTCCATTGTATGGAGAAAATCCTGGAATGTTTTCATCAAAAACCTTAATTTCTTTTCGACTGAAGAAAGAAAGACATGGACATCTTGGATGACATGGGGGTGAGTAAATTATCAGCAAAAGTTATTTTAAAGTGAACTACTCCTTTAAGAGGCTCATGCTTCATGGGAGTGGGCGGAGCTAAAGAGATCTTCTGATTGTTTTGATCTCTGATTAGTGGAATTTTCTGTTCAGCATCATGGATAATGTAGTCCTATTAAACACTCTTATTTAAAAAAAATAATAATAATCCAGGCAGACGCAAAGATGATTAACAACCTCGTATCACAGTAGGTCTCTTTAAATGTTTATAAGTTATCATTAAAAATCTATTTTAATGGACAAAATGAATGGAGTCAGAATTGTGAGTATTAAACCTGCAATTGAAGAATTATGAAGTCTGAATTTCGAAGTCGCAATCACCCTTTTGGTTTATGAAAAATATATATCATTTTATTTATTTATATATTTATTTATTTATGATGGGAATACTCTTCCATTCCATTCAATTCCATGCATACATAAATCCGCTTTTTCTGCAAATTTCTGCTAATTGAAAGTGACTAGAAGCCATTTTACATCTAGATGTACATTTCATACATTTGCAGGATTTTACAAAGAATATTTGACAGAGATTACTTCTTCATTGAACCACCATTTGGCCCTCATGGTCAACACTCATTGTCACATCGACTCATTTGTTAAGTTACTAATGTGTCACAAATGGGATTGTACAAATTCATAACATAACACAGACTCATGGCGTTCTTAAGCACAACAATCAGTAATAATTCATACTTCTTGCCTTCTCTCTTTCCATTACACATGTGAATCTGCAGCCTTTAAATTTCTACAGAGTCATTCCAGAATGTTCTTACTGCAGTGGGTCCAGCCAAAACAGGTGGAAAGATTCAAATAAAGATGTATGTTTTATAAAATATATTTAAAATAGATCTTTACAGTTTTTTTATCATTATTATTCTTTGTTCAGAATCATTTGCCAACTAGAACAAGATGTTATAGATTTGGAAGCTAATCAAAGCACACGTATTTGTCTTAGGAAACACTGTTACAAAGTAATGCTGCTTATATGTATCTTAGTTAAAGTCATTGTGAAAATTATGTTTACATGTTTCAACACTGTATAACTGTTCTCAAAGCATCTTGCTGTGTGGGTTTATTTATAAGCGCCTCAGAGGTTTTTATTCTGTTTGACCATCAGTATTTGTGTCTGCAAAAGAGCTCTGTTAATGTCAAAGAAATGTCTTGTGTCTTTCTGTGCATTTCGGGATGTTAAAACGTATTACCCCCCACCAAATTTTATAGAATATAATTTTACTGTGGGCAAATCATCAAAACAAATCAATTATAATGTAGTCCAAAAATCTGTCAAGAGTTATAATGTTATCCACCGTCGCCACCTAGTGGTAAGTGACTTCAGTTACAGCACAACGCGGCTGACGACGTACTTTTGTAGAGAAATATTGGATAATTACACGATAACAAACCGCCAAAATTAATGAACAAAGATTATTTAGATTTTCCAATATCGTTCTGATATTCTAATGCTGTCTTTAGTACATGGGCCCAGCTGCAACAAGCTTCCACAATCATAACTAGCCTAATGCAAATGTTTCCTTCAACGTGGATTTTGATTAGTCACAGGGAACAGTTACCTCACAATAATCCTCAAAGTTTGTCAAGTGATCTTTAATGGAAGTCTAAAGATAACCTGTATAGCAGAGAATGAGAGATGATAAGAAGAGTTGTATAAATATAGAGGCCAGTCCAGACATCGGGTTGAAAAGTACGGAGCCCCTAAAGGGACATGTTAAAGGAAAAAAAATATATATGAGATGGAGGGGGGAAAATGTCATTCTCTCCCAAATGTTTTGTCCCTTTAGAGGCTTTGAAGAAATTAAATTATTACACTGATTTGTGTTTAAAATGTGTGTAGATATTTCATAAGTTATAAAGTACGGAGCCCCTAAAGTTAGGCTACATGATGGTGGGAAAAAATAGTTTTGCGTTCCCCCGAGAAACTTAACATTCATTCACAAAACATTTTGAGCTCTTCGCGCTTTGCAGCGGAACAAACGTTTTTTTGCGAGGGAAAGCTATACGTTTCAAAACATTTGCGAGAGTACGCAAAAGCGTTTCCCTTCACCGTGTCCCTTTAGTGGCTCCGTACAAATGGGCATTTTTGATGCATCTCTTTTTTTCCACATTCTTTATCTTTCTTATTTATTCAGAATATGCAAATAATGTTTATTGTTTTGGGTTCTATATACTGTCTAATAAGAACACTTGATTGTCTGTCAGTTTTTAGTTTTGCGATGCCTGCATGCCTGATTGACATCAGCTTTTTCAGGAGAAGAGTGCATGAGCTTTTCCCTACTCTAGAAATCAGTGCCTTTCTTTGTTGATGTTTATCCCAAACTGTATTTTCTGTCTGACTGCATTGTGATTGATTTACAACATTGAACATGATTCTTTTAAGTCCTTTTCTCAAAACAATGCTGTCATTGATTGCTCTATTTGAGGTTTCCCAGTAACATTCTAATAATGCACAATTTCTAGCAAGCGACATGAACCAGCTGCATGTGTAGAGCGTGAAGAACGCTTTACAGCAGGAGTGGGCAACTCTGGCCATCGAGATCCACTTTCCTGCAGAGTTTAGCTCCAGCCGTGATCAAACTCACCAGTAGCTTTCTAGGGCTAAATTGTTGCCTCTCTGCCTCATCATTTTGCGGGCAGCGTTTGCGCACAAAACTGATAAAGTTGGCCAGCTCTGATAATAACACATGCACATGGTAGAAAGTGTTGTGAAAATATACACTGCACACCTGTAGGGGGAGCTCGATGAGAAAACAAGCGACAACAAAATTGAAAATCAGCAAAGAAATGACTAGAGTTGCCAAGTGCCCCTTTAAAATGGCAGTAGGAATTCTCCCAAAAGGGAAGTTCCCGATATCTGAAAGTGGCATTAGACGCAGCCTAGTAATCCTGAAGACCTTTATTAGCTACAGTAGGTGTGTCTGATTAGGTTTTGAGCTAAACTCTGCAGGAAAATGGATCTCGGGGCCAAAGTTGCCTACCCCTGCTTTACGGTGTTAGCGATTGGCCCTTAGTGATGGGTAGAGTTGTCTGGAGCAGATCTAGTGCTCTGTGTGCCTATCCCAAGCTTCTCTGTGGAACTAGATGAGTGCATTTTGTAACATAGTCAATAAACCGCTCAGAATGTACTGCCCTGCTGGTTCATTGTGTATGGAATCATTGGTAATCTTGATGCCTATTAACCCTCAGGTGCTCTTCGGTCATTTCTGACCGAAAAATTTTCTGTTTTGAATTTCTAAAAATCACAGCTTCATCGGAATGTTATGAAACTTGGTGACTTTTATGGCATTATGTATGTGAATACAAAACAAAATTGAGGTCATGATCCGAGCATGCTAAGTGGTCTTAAAAAAATAGTCACCCTTGTGGTCTTTTTTCAAAAATGACCGACCCACAGGAAATGAATGGGAAATTGACCATAAAAAAATTTTCTGAATTATTTGTACGTGCAATCTACAAATCGGCCACAATTCTAAAAAAAAAAAAAAAAAAAAAGTACACCGCAGGAAAGGGGTGACACTCTACAACGTCTAGAGTGCAAAACAGACAAACCCACACACACACAAACACACTTTTATACACGTACACACAAATACATTTTTATTACAAAAAGTATGTTTTGAATTTTTTAAAATCACAGCTTCATCGGAATGTTACGAAACTTGGTGACTTTTATGGCATTATTTATGTGAACACACAAACAAATTGAGGTCAGGATCTGAGCATGCTAAGTGGTCTTAAAAAATAGTCACACTTGTGGTCTTTTGTCAAAAATGACTCCCATAGGAAATGAATGGGAAATTGACAAACACAAAATTTTTTATTTATTTTTATTTATTCATAAACATCTGGGGAATTCACATGCTTCTCCATAGAGAACGTACATGCTATCTAGCGGTTACACCATGATTCTACGCTTTTTCTCTATACTGTAACCAGATGGTGCTAATTTTCTTCAATTTTTTTTTTTTTCTGAAGGCCTAGACTCTATATTAAAATAAAATACTGCATAAATAATTTAAAAAATAATATATATATATATATATATGTGTGTGTGTGTGTGTGTGTGTGTATGTATGTATATATATATATATATATATATATATATATACTGTATATATATATATATATTATATATATATATATGAAGAGTTCAGATGCAAAAGCCTCTAAGTGCCATTTGAAATTTTCTTCTAAAATTATCATTTTTATGAAGCTTGTATATTTAAGTTCAGTAATTTCACTTAAATGGCAATGAAGATTACCTATTAGTTGTCATTTCAGTGAAATTTCTGAACTTAAATACACAAGCTTGATAAAAATGGTCATTCTAGAACAAAATTTCAAATGGCACTTAGAGGCTTTTGCATCTCAACTCTTCATATATACATACATATATGTATATACATATATATACACATATATATGTATATATATACATATATATACACACAACACACACATATATATATATATATATATACACACACACACACACATATACAGTATATATATATATATATATATATATACATATACATATATAT